CATCTACTCTTTGAATACGCAAGAGCTGTATCTATTTTAAAGAAAAAAAAAATAGATACTGTCAAGAAGGCAACTTCCAAGTCTGCTTGCTATTCTTGCACCTAGGAATGTATCAAAAGCCACGTTCCTACTTAATTCTTTTCTTCCCACCTCAGTGGAAGTGACATTAATTCCCCTCTTCAAGGCTAATTCTCCTACTAGAACTCTCAATTTCCATCTCTTCAAGAAACTTGCTTTGCTTTGGCTTTTGTATCTAAAAACTTACCTTTCTATTAATTTTTTCCTCTTAAAATAGGTACATCTATAACCCACGTCTCTCTACTTGATCACTTCTTCCCCACCCTCAAGATTCATGAGAGAACAGATCCTAATAATGGACTCCTTTTCTTTGCTTCCCATTTGTTCCACAGTGAAATTAGCTTTCTAAAGCCACGACTTTACTGAACCATACCTTTCAAGTTCAATGAATGTATTCGTAAGTGCCTTTTGTATTTTTATCTTTAATTTCCTAGTATGATATGATGATGCTTATATCTCACATTCTTTCTAGAAATAAATGAAGTACATTTTTTTACTGAATTTAATAAGCTTTTGTCATATCAAATGACCTCAAGTGAAGTTCAATTCCTCTCAAGAACATTAGAAATCCAGCTGATTAATCATGATTCAAAACGCCTACTAGTAGCTATAGGATTGCTGAAATAATCTTATACTATTATCAATAGCTAGACATTATATCATGTACATATAAATCAACAGTTTAAGGGTGACATATTGTAGTTTTCATTTATTTTTTCTTAAATCAATTTTTTAAATGTTTTATTTATTTATTCATGAGAGTCAGAGAGAGAGGGAGAGGCAGAAGCAGAGGGAGAAGCAGGCTCCCCGTGGAGCAGGGAGCCCGATGCGGGACTTGATCTCAGGACCCTGGGATCATGACCTGAGCCGAAGGCAGACGCTTAACCATCTGAGCCACCCAGGCGCCCCTCTTAAATCAATTTTGATGAAACATTTAACTAACAAAAAATGGTACCAATGTGGCAAATAAACGCTAAGATGCCTCCCAACGATTTCCACCTCTTAGCATTAACACTCTTGTGTAATTTCCTCCCATTAAGTGTGGGTTGGAATTATCAGCTCCCTTATAAGAAATAGAATAAGGCAGAAGTTAAAAGCCTTGGGCATGTATTTGCTCTCTCTCATGCATTGCTTGCTTTGGAGGAAGCCTGCTGCCATGCCATGAGACAGTCCCAGAGAGATGTCCATATGCCAAGGAACTACCTGAGAGAGCTGAGAGGAATTCAACAGCCAGCAAGAAATCAATGTCCTCAGTCCAACACTATGATGGAGTGAGGCCTGCCAGAAACCAAGTGAGCAGGCTTAAAAGTATATCGTCCCTAAGTCCAGTCTTCAACTTTGAGGGCAGTCATGCCTGACAGCTTGCAACCTCATGGGAGACCTTGAGCTACAGACACTCAGCTAAGCCACACCCATATTCCCGACCCACAGACACTGAGAGGTAAATGTTTGTTGTTTCAAACCACACAATTTGGGGGAAACTTTTTACATAGCAATCTATAAGTAATACAACGTATTTGACTTTATTTCAAAGAGGAATCTCTTTTCTAAGTAATGCATAACCGAATGCCCATTTTTGTATTAAAAAATCAGGACTCTTCTCAATGATATATTGAGCATTAGTCATAGTTTAAACAGCAGAGATTATGTATGGTTACTCAAGAAGGAATAACTGCAATTAGGCTATTAGAAACTCACAACAAATCATTTTTGAATCTGGATTTCCAAGAGAATGAGTCAAACTGAGAATGTTATTTGTAAAACTAGTAACTATAAATGCCCCCAGGTTTCCAGATGAATGAGTGTCTTAGAATAACATCTGCGAAGAGGGAAGGTTTCAGCTATAGGCAGCCTCTCCCTAATGAGGCCATTCATCTGGTCCTCATTGATGAGTCAATGTCTGGAACAGTCATTTTTGCCTAGATTTTAGTAAGCAGCATGATCACGCCCTGCCGAGAGGCACTCAAGTGACAGATCTGACACCTGCAAACTTCCACCATCCGATGAAACAGACACAAGCCTCAAAGTGGCAAATGTATGAGAACATGGAAGAAGTGGAGAACTGCCTTCCTCCTGAAACAATCCGAATAAAACTGGCGGAGGTCAGCGGGACATTCATCGATGATAAAGAGGATAAGAATAACGTGTGTGAAGTTAAAAGTATATTAAAATTATCTTGGATCTCAACATAAATATGCAGAAGTTTTGAGGAGGGGCTAGCCTCATAAAAACAGAACCTGCATATTTTATTCATTAAAGTAATTCAAAATATTGATCTTGGAATTATTTATTTAAAAGCCAATTTAAAATAAACCCGTTCCAAGGTAAACTGGAAGGAGGGAAAGGAAGTCCAAGAAGTATATTTGAAATAAAGAATAAGTAAAACATACATCATCAGCTAATGGGAAAAATTAGATTTGAGCCAATCCTACCTTTGTAATAAGATCGCAATCTCACAATATGTAAGATGGTTTGGGATTGGTGTGGAGATTTCTTTTCATAGGTTAGGCCCTAGTGAACCTAAACTAGTGTCATAATTTTCTATCCGCTTTTCCAGTCTATATTCTGATTCTCAGTGATTTTACCCACTCCTAGAAGATTTATTTTCCCAAACCAAAAATCTCATCATGCACGTCGTCTGCACAAAATCTGTACTGTCTCCCCCTACCACTAAATGAGCTAAACTTTCAAAACACTCCAGTAAGTCTCCCTGCAGGGTGGAGAAGCAGACAAACTCTGTGTCTGCTTCCCAGATTGGTATTATGACTCCGCAATTTATTAGCTGTGACATTACAGCAAGTAAAGTGAAGTAAAATTCTCTGTATCAGTTTCCTTATCTATGAAACAGGATAATGATTTTAAGGAGCCACAAATGTTTATTGTGAAAATTAAAAGAAATAATCCATGACGTGTTAGGAATAGTGACCTGGCCCATCAATATTAGCTATTACTTTACTGTTGCTATTATTGCTGCTATTTGAGATTCAAAGTAGCCTAAGATTATGAGTGTCTACCATCTGATAGGAGATTTTATATATGCTACCTTAGTTCACTTGCACTGCAAATTTCTGAAACAGGAATGATTAGTCCCATTCTATAGGCGAGGAGGCCACGACACAGACATTTTAAATGAATTCTCTAAATTCCTACAGTGACTGAGGGCTAACAGCCGCGTTCCTGCCCAGGTTTCCTGACTTCATGTGAAGGGTACTTTTGACTGCACAAGTTTGTCCTTCCAGATTTGTCACCTAGTGCTCCACTGTGAAAAACACTGGTTAATAGTGCTGGCAATGATTTTATACCCCAGCATAACCAGTTACTTGCACTTCATACACACTCTCTGAGGTTGTGTTCTCTACTGTAAAAGATGAATGGGGGATGCCATCTTTATGAACTGATTAAGGGGATTACTTCACTTAAACAGTGCGGTAGCTGGAATAGATCATGTGCACAATTTTATTAGTTTATATAATTATATATTTATATTTTTGGTTTTATTCATTTATATCAAAACACTTAATGTCCTCCTAACATCGCACATTTTACTTCCTCATTATCAGTGCCTTAATCGTCCCTGTGTTTATCTCTGTTTATTGAAAATGTACCCTTCTTTCATAGAGAAACATTTTCCATTGTCCCTAAGCATTTCCTTATTCTTCAGCTAGATGCAGATCCACAATCCCTGGTCCAAATTCTGTGAGCGTAGATGCTTCACCATTTAGAATTTTGCCTTATTTTAGAAAGGTAAAGGAATATATATCTTGGATATTACATGACAGTCTCTGGAAGGATCTGGAACAGAATCTCATAATTAAACACAGTAATGTTTTTGCTGCAAATAGTATAAATGCTCACACTTATTTGGATAGATAAAGACTATAAATAAGTTCATATTAGCCCAGGTCATATATTCTAAGGCACAGAGATTAGGCTGGCATGCATCGCCAAATTTAATTAAGTTAAAAAATTTTGTGTTCAGTTTTTTTGATTTTAGAATTGTGCATAAAGAATTGTAGACCCATATGATCTCTCCCCACCTCCCGCAGGAGTTTTAATAGGTTCTTTCTTTTTTTAAAAAAATATTTTATTTATTTGAGAGAGAGAGAGAGCACATGAGAGAGAAAGAGAGAGAGAGTGAGCGAGAGCATGAGCATGGGGAGGGGCAGAGGCAGAGGGAGCAGCAGACTCCCTGCTGAGTAGGGAGCCCTAGGTGGGGCTGCTTCCAGGACCCTTGGATCACGACCTGAGCTGGAAGCAGATGCTTAATTGGCTGAGCCACCCAGGCACCCCTGCTAGGTTCTTTCTAAAGATTGTGCGGTATTCTATCCAGCATGATTATGTATTCACTCATCTTGGCCTCCATTACTGTACATGAGTCTCTAAGGGCAAGGAATGTATCTTCATCTTTGCGTGCTCTTCAGGACCCAGGATGTTCTTAAATCTTACTAAGTGTGTTAGGCATACTTTATAAACAAGAAAATATCATACCAGTATTCCAAATGTGTAGACAGTGCTAAAAGTATTTGTCTTGCAAAGATGGCAACACTCCTTTTCATGGTCATTAATACACGGTGAGTCATTATTCACACAAATTTCTTTAAAAAGAAGCAGCCTAAGTTATACTGGTATTAATTTCACAATAAGATCATAAAGAATTTAACCCATTGATGATTTGCCTGAATGCGGATTCTAGAAGGGGTAGGTAATGCTCCAAAAGTTCAAATTCTAATATAAAATTTGGAAATTAGGACATGATGGGGGAACATTCTTAGCATCTTATTTTGCAATTTGAAGGTAAGTCATTTAAAAGTCAATGATGATATTCTTTGACTAAAATTGATTTCATGCTGTGTATTTGTGAACCTTTTTCTTCTTAGTTACGATTTACTCTAGAAGGAACATAATAATTCTTGCCGTCTCACCTATATGTTGTCCATACATGTGATAAAAGAAGCTGAAACAATATGCAGTGTTCGTGGGGCCATAAGGGTTTTTAGGAGCTATGCTGAAAACAGGGCTGAGAAGTCGGGCCTTTTCGCCTTCCAATCTGGGTCGAGATGTCTCAATGTACATATAAAAACCTTTAAAAAAACAATATAAAATGTTTAAGCACATTATTAGGTGACATGAAATTTGAAATCATTTAGAAGTTTGAGTTTTTATATGAAGTAAATTATAGATTCACAGGAGAATTTTGATCTCATTTATGAACGATTTATATATAATATAAAGAATAAATAAATGATCTACGTAAAGATAAAATTGCTTAAATGTATAAAAACTTTAGACAAAACTGGACTTTTACACTTGAATTGTTAAAAATTCCGATCTCTCAGCTATATGTATCAGTGAGTTCTGAGAGAAGATTCATGTCTACAGACTTGGAAATTTCTGAATTATTGGTACTGTACATTAAAAATTTAATGTTTTATCCCATAATCTTCAACCCTATAGCTAAACGTTCTGTTGCGTGTCATATTAATGGCATTGATTTCTGAAAGTCCAAGGCTGGAGTATGATTGTTATAAACACAACATTTCATACCCTCATACCTTCTTTAGAGCCAGTACGATCAGCATTAGGTCCTGTGTTTGGAGTGTATTTTGTATTTCTTGTTGCAGTACTTTGCTTTGTCCAGTCAAAATTATCTGTATCATCTTGGGTGAACAAACAGATGTTCCCATCTTCAAATCCACAGTGAAATTCTCCTGTTAATGAATTTTCATTAACGTAATTAATATTAATTAAATTAATATAAACACTGCAATATTCTCATAAAAATTTTTAAAACATTATACATATAGCAATAATAATGCAAGACTGTGATAGTGAAACCAGAGCCATGATAGCACACAAGATTGTGACTAAACCTAAAACTAGTTCAATTTTAACAAAAAAGAAAAATAATCTTGATATATAAATCAGTCTCTTGGTTTAGTAACTTAACCCCGAACCATTTTCCTCTGAAATATCCAAATAATTGAAATTAAAGAATATAATTCACACTTGAATTATGGCTGATGACTTTTCCCAACTTTCATTTTTCGAGTCTAGAAATAATCCAAACAAAACTGTCAATTACAAAATAAGCTTTATTAATTTACGTGACAACACGTTAAGGCCGTACACCTTGAGGATATAATTTTTCACACCATGTCTGGAAATGCTTTCATGCATACCCACGTGCAGAAATGGAAGTTTACTTAGGGGAAGATAATGGCAAAATATTTAAAAAAGTAGTTATCCTTAAATTTTTCTTGAATGTGGATTTGGCAGCAGGTTAAAATTCACTAGACATAAAGTAATGAAAAGCCTTTATGAAGACTGTGGAAGGACTGGGATTTCTTGTATGCCTGCCACATGCTGAGTTCAGACCCAGCAAAAAGTTCAGAGAGAACTTTTTCAATGAGGGTAGGAATAATGTTTCTAGGTATCAAAGGGTTTTCTTACTGGGATGTACCCTGCTTGAAATATAGGCGTAAATAAAGAAGATAATGTCAACTAGATACAAAGAAGACATGAACAGACATTTCTCCAGAGACATCCAAATGGCCAACAGACACACAAAAAGATGTTCAACATCACTGATCATCAGGGAAATGCAAATAAAAACCACAATGAAATCTCACACAATGAGATGGCATTAAATAAAAAAAAAAGCATTGCCAAGCATGTGGAAAAACTGGAACCCTTATACACTGTCATGGGAATGTAAAATGGTACAGCCAGTAAGGAAAACAGTATGGAGTTCCTCAAAAATTACAAACAGAACTACTGGGGGCACCTGGGTGGTCCAGTTGGTTAGGTGTCCAACTCTCGATCTCAGGGTCGTGAGTTCAAGCCCTGCTTTTATTTTTTTACTTAAAAAAAAAAATAGAACTGTGTAATCCAGCAATCTTATTTCTGGTATGTATCCAAAAAATTGAAACCATTATCTCACAAGGAGAAGGATGCACTCCTATATTCATTGCAGCATCTGTTGCGATAACCAAAATATGGAAGCAACCTAAGTGCCCATCAGTGGATGAATGGATAAAGAAGATATGCATACAGTGGAATATTATTCACCTTAGAGAAGAAGAAAATCTTGCCAATATGTGACGACACTGATGAACCTGGAGGACATTCTACTAAGGACATTATATTAAGCCATGTAATTATTCTTAGAAGAATTATGCTGCAAGATTACACTTATGAGGTATCTAAAATATCCAAATACATAGAAGCAGAAAGTAGAATGGTGGTTTTCAGGGGCAGGAGGAAGATGGAAATGGAGAGACATTGGTCAAAAGGTATAAACTTTCAGTTCAGCAAGAGATCTGCTGTAGAACATTATTCTGGGATAACAGTGCTGTATTGTATACCTAAACATTATTAAGAAGGTAGATCTCATGTTAAATTTTTTAATTTTTAAAAAATTTTTTAAAAATTAAAAAAATTAAATAATTTTTAAATTTTTAAAATTTAAAATTTTTTTAAAAATCACAATTTAATAAAAGAAGAGGGAAGGAAGGAAGGAAGGAAGGAAGGAAGGAAGGAAGGAAAGTAGGAAGAAAACCATTGACATGTACACATAAAAATAAAACAGAAGGCTTTCCCTTTGAATTTAAGTTTTTGTTTTGTTTTTGTTTTCAGATTAAAGACTTGCTGTACCTCTTTGTGTTTATTTATATTCTGTATTATGAATAGGAATATTTACAGGGAACATAAGCATTTAGTGAATTCTAAATCAGTAAATTTCTGGATAAACAATATTCCATATAAAATATTTTTCAGCATATGTTTATGTCATGGAACTTGTACTAAAGAAGACAGGACTGCCTGATACTATCAATTGAGATCTAATGTTGGTGACAGCAGTGTAGCTATATGCATGGATACATTTCTTTAAATATCTTTTAGGCACAATAAGAGATTCCTTTAGCTGCTACTTTGGAGTCAGGATAAAGCAATGCTTGATTTTAAATGTTTTCAGTTGTTTAATTACATATTGTATTCACACAAAGAAAATATCAAAAAACAAATGTAAAAATTAAGGATTTGTTTATAAATCTGCTGTCAAATCCTACTTTTTATGTCATTTAAAAGCATATGTGATGAATTTTTATACAACCACTTAAACATATCTTTTGTGTAATTTAGCCTTGTTTGAAAAAAAATTGCCTACAAAAAACAAGAGTTTTTAAAACCTGAAAATTGAAGTCTTTCATAGTAAAATTAAGCAACAGTACAGCTTATGAGAAGACGTGTCCATAATTTTAGATATATCTAAAATTTTTCATAATTTGGTTATTTTACAGAAGACATAAGTTTACAATAAATTTGAAGGAGACTTAAGACTCCAGTAATTCCCATTGCACAAAGATAAATAAGTCATCTCCATAGTTCTTCATTACTTCTGTAGACATCTTTACAGTGAAGAAACCTATTACTGGAAAGATTTTATAAAAAGTAGAAAGATAAAAGTGGGAAAAACTCACCATTTTGGACCATAATAATCTTATGATTATCCTGTCATTGTATGTGGGGTAATTATGCAAAAGGCTATTCATCAAAAAGTTTATTGAAATAAGGAATATCTTGATAGTGAAAATGCATCAGTCTGTAAAAACTTATCAAAAGTCTATGTAATATTAAATATTCAAAGATCTCATAAAATAAGAAAGTAATATAGTCCAGGATTTTCACAAAGATATGCAACTGAAGACACTTGATATTGAATTTTTCAGTGGTTTTCTAACTATAATACGATCTTGGTAGTTTCAAGAGCTACTTGGAAATAAAGAAATATATTTGAAATATTTTGTATTACATGGTCTTCAGAATTATGCTTTATTTACCCCAATTCTTCTCACTACAGTGAAGAAAGACTAAAACTTGGGGAAAAGCAGCCTGATGCCCAATAGTCCTCTAGCCCAATGACTCCCTCTTGTAACCACCTATCCTGTTTCTTTATTTTTTACTTTATGTTTTTAGCTTTACTGAAATATAATCGACAAACAAAAGTTATATATATTTAAGTTATATACAATTTGATGTTTTGATATATATTTTGAAATAATCATAATGAAGCAAATTAATACATTCATCACTTCACATATCACATAGTTACCATTATTTTCCTTCCTTCCTTCCTCCCTTCGTCCCTCCCTCCTTCCCTTCCTCCTTTCCTTCCTTTCTTTTTTTTGGAGGTGAGAACCCTAAAGATCTACCCTCTTAGCAAATTTCAAATATACAATACAGTAGTGTTAAGCATAGTCACCATACTGCACAATAGATCTCCAGAACTCACTCATCTAACATAACTCAAAGTGAATACCCTTTGACCAACATCTTCCCATTTCCCCCTCCCTCTTGCTCCTGGCAGCCACCATTCTATACTCTGCTTCTGAGTTTGACTATTTTAGATGCCATGGAAATGAGATTATGCAGCCTCTGTCCTTCTGTGTCTGGCTTATTTCACTTAGCATAATAAACCAAATTCACCTATGTTGTCTCAAATGGCAGGACAGCCTTTTTAAAAGCTGACTAATATTCTGCATTTTCTTTATCCATGAATCCACTGATGGATGTTTAGATTATTTCCATATCTTGGCTATTGTGAATAATGCTGCAATGAACTTGGCATTGCAGGTATTTCATCAGTTGAGCTTTATTTCTTTTGGGTATTTACCCAGAAGTGAGACTGCTGCATCATTTGGTAATTCTCTCTTTAATTTTTGAAGAACCTCCATACTGTTTTCTATAATGGCTGTAGCAATTTACATCCCCACCGACAATGTGCAATGGTTGATTAAAGAGACTGTCCTTTCCCTACTGTGTGTTTTTGGCACTTGCTGAAAATCAGTTGACTGTAAATTCATGGATTTATTTGTGAGTTTCCCATTCCGTTCTATCAGTCTAAATTATAGTTTTTATGCTAGTACCACACTCCTTTGATTAACTGTAGATCTGTGATATATTTTAAAATCAGGAAGTGTGATGCCTCCAGCTTTATTTATATATTACATGAGCTATTTGTGCTCTTTTATGGTTCTATGTGAATTTTAAGATTGTTTTCTCTATTTATGTAAGGAATGTCACTGGCATTTTGATAGGGATTGCACTGAATTAGATCATTTGGGGAAGTATGGATATTCTAACAATATTAATTCTTCTAATCCATGAACACAGGGTGTCTTTCCATTTACCTGTCTTCTCTAATTTCCTTCAACAATGTGTTATAATTTTTAGTGTAGAAGTCTTTCACTTCTTTAGTTAAGTTTATTCCTATGTATTCTATTCTTTTTGTTGTTATTTTGAATGGGACTGCTTTCTTAATTTCCTTTTCAGATAGTTCATTGTGAATGTAGAGAAATGTCACTGGTTTTTGTGCTTTGATTTGTGTCACCTCACTTTACTTAATTTATTATCTCTAACTTTGGAATGACATTTTAGAGTGTGCTACTATGGTAAACTTTCTTTTCAGTTTTAAGTTGTTTCCTAGAGATAGTGAGACTGTCACACATATATATTATTTATATTATTATATTATACATATTAATATTTATATTATATATATGTGTATTTCATATATGTATAAACCATCTTGTACTTAATATAAACCATAAGAAGTCCAAAATTTTTTTCCAGAAGTTCTGAATTTTAACAATTTGGACTTCAGAACCTAAAGCAGACCAAATACACTTTTCAAAAATTTTAAAACCTCTTTACAGAAAATTTCAACTCCGTTGCTGAGATACTTGCAAGACCTCAGAATTCATTTCAATCTTATTTCAATATTTTTGTTTTCTTTTCAATTAACACAGTCCAATCACAGACTAAACTTCAGGTTTGGTCCAAAGATACCCTTCCTGAGGAAATCAGCAGTGTAAGAAAGATGCTGCCCATGCTTAATGGAGCCTGTAGGATATGGTTTTCTTGACAACTAATCATCCTTTTTAGTTCAAAATTTCAATCAAAAGAGTCTTTAAAAAACTATAAACAAAAGGCCTTCCTCTTTTAAATTTAAAAAGTAATTATTTTGAGTCTAATGAGGAATCATACTATGACAAAATTTCATGGACTTACTCTATATAGATATATTGGAAGTAGATACTTAGGATAAGTCAATTCACTTAAAAACTATATAAGTTGTTAAAATGCAAAAGAGGAGCTAAAATTAATTTTATTTGCTGCCAATATGTGTCTCATATCACATGTATTATATTAAATATAATATATATTCCAATATATTCCTACAATCATTTTTTCTATAAAAAGATGTTTCAGATAAACCATAATTTATAATTAAGCCAACATATAGTCAAAAGATTTTTAAACTTTATTATCTAGACAATAATCTCTTATGGAAGAAATATTACTAAATGGTATTATAAGAATTCATTACACATAATTATAAATAACCTAAGAAGTAAGATTTGGTAGCGTTTTCTTCATTTTAAGAAATCACTTACAATCCTATCAGGAGTACTTAATGTTTCTAATTTCATATTTTCCTCATTGACTTTTTTTTCCTGAACTGCTTAATTTTCACTTTCTCTTCAGCTTCATTAATATCATTACCGGGAAAATATGTTTTAATAAAATGTGGAGAATAAATAGTAAGCATATTGTAACTAATTGAACAATTATAGCAAAATTATAGAAACAAAAATCAAGTTTGCCTGAGGTTGGGATGCATACAGGTTTACTACAAGGCAGCAATACAAAAACTTTATAGAGATGATGGAACTTGTGGTGATGGTTACGTAACTGTATGAATTGGGCAACACTCCTTACAGAAATATACACACAAAAAAATGTTAATTTTACCATATGTAAACTATGATTTGAAAAGCAATGACAAATTTTAAGACATTATACCAATTAAGAAGATCTCAGGTAGAAGTAGTCTAACTGAGGGAAAGAAAAATTCACTTTCCATAGCAAAATATAAAAGAAAACATGACCTTCTACATGTTGGCCTATTTTCCTCTTACTGAATAATGTCTGGCTAATTTATTAGGAGTTTGAATGTATAATGAATGTGTTTGCTTGATAAAACATTTTTCTTTTATGTCTTTGGGACCTGGAGAGTCTTTAACAGGGTTAAAGAAATCAATTAATAAGGGAGAAATGTATGTGACTGTCAATAACATAAAAATAATTATTTTCGATAACTTAGAAAAATCATTGTGCGATGTTTACTAAAAAGTCTTTATTCTAAACAATTCTAATCTTTCACCATATTGAACACTTAGTAAAAAATAAAAAAAGTACAGTCAATAGAAATCTTTAGTATAGAGAGTTATAATGGAAATTATTTTAAAAGTAGAAAATCCAATTCATTGACTAACAACAACAACAACAAAAATGCTTGTTGGAGAACTTGGTAGCTATGACCTAAAGGATACGAGCTTTTAAAAGAAGCACTCAAATTCCAATTTAATGTTGTTCATCTCAAGGGCACATTTCTGGCTTCTGTAATGTTTGAATATATACTCTAGACACACTGAGCTTTGCTCAGTTATTATGGGAACATGACCTTCCTTTCCTCACCTTCTTCACCTAAGGAACCTCTACTCAACTTTCAGGACCCAGTTCAAATAGCATGTCTTTTATAAAACTTCACCTGCCATAAACTTAATGGTACTTTTTATATTGCATGGAAGTCATCTGTTAGCAAACAATATCTCTACTATTTCTTTACATATGCATTTTTTCCCAGTAAATTGAAGCTACTAAAAAATTTTTCCTTGAATTGAAATATTACTTTCAATAATTTCAAAATCAACTTTTTCCTGTATCAAGTTTTAATCTTCCCATGATGACTCTTTTTAAACATATCTACTGAAATTATAGTCAGAGAATTTACCTTCAAAAGAATTATAATCAATATAGTAACTAAATAGCAATAGTACCCTGGGGAGAAGCCAGGGAGAAACTGATTTGGGCAATTAATTCATCTTGAAACTGTTGTGTATTTGTTCTCTTAACAAATGATCATTGAACACCTGCTAAGTATAAGATGCTGTGAAACACCAAAAGACAGTGAGATATAGAGAGAAATTAGAAACATATTTAGCTCTTAAGTATTTTATGACAAAATAAAAAATAGCTTATAACATAGATGAAGACAAGTTGTTTTTGGAAATCAAATGGAGAGAATACTCAGTGAAGAAGGAAGCATTTGTGCTAAACTTTATAAATTAAATCTCAAAGGGTTGAGAATATCCACATTAAAGGGTCATTGGTGAGAACAAAATGAACTGTGCATGAAAGCAATATGAAAACAGGAAAGATCCATGAACGTATTCAGTATTATAATCTGGATATGCAGAAATGGAGTAGAGGAGAACCTTGAGCAGAAAATAAGGTAGCAACAGGTTGTGTAGTTTGGTCTTGGGTTATATAATCAGTGAAAGGCCATTATAAGGAAGGAAACATAATAAAATGAGAAAAAAGACCTGCACAGTTTCTTCACTGAATGTAAGTAATGGAGAATATTGGATGGATGGAAGTAAGAGTGCAAATGTGGCTCTCCATTCTTTTATTAGCCAAGAACAATATATTCATAGGCACAAAATGTAGGACAAAAATCAATCTTTACTCTAATGTGAAATATTCAAGAGGATGGTGAACAGACTATCTTCTTCATTAACAATGGGGATATAGACTAGTGATGTATGAAAAATCTTGATTAAACCATTCAAATGCCAACTTTGTAACTACAGTCTTTCATAACTGGAATATAGAAATTACAAAAGAAAATTAAAGAAACACATAATAGTAATATAAATGATATGCATTGCCACAAAAGAAAAACATAATCCTATAGTTAAACAAATAGCAAATGTTAAGTTGGAGGAAACAGGTCCATATTTAGGAAAACTTATAAAAATCAATGACCAATATTAAATAGTTTGTCTTTATAATCATATCCATCAAAATTTAAAATTCACAATTCATATTTAATGGTAGTTTTACTGTTTCTATGCCATTCCATTTTAAACCAAATATGAACAGTTGCTAAATAACCTTTATATGCCTATGAGTTTTCTACTTTTCTTAACTGTGAAATGCTGCACCATTATTAAAATAAACATATACTTACTCAAATGAGGATTAACAGGAGCTACAAGAAAAGCAAAAAATAATGTTAACATGGCTTGAATGTCTTTTATAAATAAAGGTCTAATCAGTGTCTCCTAGTTCCTTATCAAAACTTAATGATCTTCCCCACTGTGACCATGGAGAATTATGTCTGCAATCCATTTTGTTCTAGAGGATTGAATAGAATCTACTTTGGAGCTCAGCAATAACAGTCTCAAAGTACCCAAAAGATCAATGTTAAATAGCATGTGGGATTTGTTCATTTTCCAAGGAACAGAGTTGCTGATTTTTTATATCTTAACCAGTGCAAAAACCCCCAGAAATCAAACTCAGGCTGACAGTAGGCCAACCTATAATCTAGATGTTTTAACAATGAAAGCAATTATCCAACAGAGATTACACTTTAGTTTTTTTGCTGTTATCTACTTCTGGTGAAAAGAACATGGTGTATATGAAAATAAAGCAAATCTTATATGTTTTTACATGCACCCCAAAACAAATAGCTACACCAGTGCTGCTTTGTTTGATTACATGAACACACACACACACACACACACAGATGGTTTTCAAATAACAAGCAATACAGTTGTGTTTTTGTGCACTAGAAGACATATTTATCTCAATAAACTGTGTTTACAATACAAGTGACAATTGATTTCTACATGAAGAGGGAAGAATACTTTACATTTTACTAAAACAACAACAAAAATGTATCTAATCTAACAGACAAAATGGTATCTGTGTATATTGGTTCTTTATCACTTTGAAAGAAAATTTCATTCTGGATGAAGTAAAGCATTGTTGTGGTCTCGCAAGATTATAATAGGCAGTTAATCTAACTTGCAGAAGTTCATCTGCTCTGTTGTTAATTCCTAGTGTTTTCCATTAACCATTTTTTTTTAAACTTGGACTTTACAAATGAAGTATGATAGATAGTAAAAAATGCATACCCATGCACAAAGCATGTTCATAGTAATTGTTACATTAGTACATTGAGATCGACTTTAACAAAGCGACTTTCTCAAATATTTTTACTATTTCTTACAGTAGACAATTTCTATTACTTTGTTTTTCTGATTCTGTTTCCCCATTGCCAATTATGAAATAAGTAGAGAGGGGACTGTATATCCACTAGTTCCACTGAAGTGGAGAAAAAAATACTTTTTCTTGCAAAATATCAATATATTATAATTTGAAAATTAATTAGTAAAAATGAAAATCATTTCATAATTGATATGGAAGTTTAAAATTGTCTATGTATTTCTCACAAAGAGGTAAGCATCTTTGAATTCTAATTTGATTCTAAAATATATGTCACACCTACAGTTAACCTCTGACCACACTGAGTTTTAATTGAGTCTTCTGCTACAATATTACTAGTCATCAAATTCACTGTAAGTAGCTGATTTAACCATGTGAAAACTTCCATTCTAAATTCTAAATATTTCAGTGAGCCCATTTTTTTCTTTTTACAGTTGAACTTTCAAGTGTAATTTTTCATAAATGTCTAGATACCATTTAAGTAAACTTTAGCCAAGCCTATATTAAAGTAATTTTAATTAAAATGTTTAAGATTTTAATAAGTATGCCTAAGAATGTAAAGATAATTAAAGCCTTTGAAACTACCATAATATCTATTTTCCAGATTTATTTTTCATTTTACTCTGTTGCCTCAGAGTTTTCAGTAAAACTACTGAGCTTATAAAGATTTTTTTCTCTAGTTCTCTTTAAGAAAAGTCACATAATTTTTAAACATAGCAAAGCAACAAGGGTCTTCTGCCATGAAAGGGTCAACTAGCCCTAGTTCTATTCAGAGTTTGTCATTTCATACTTGTTTAATTCTGCAGGACACTGAAACTTTCAAGGTCCTAATATCTTTTTTTTTTTAAAGGAATGGATATTAGTGCATTGTTTCTAATGTCCCTTCATATTGAGTTGTCTATAGTTTTATAACTCAAGGGCAGGGAGCATGAAACTTAGATAAGAGGGGATAATAATTCATATTTTATAAAATATAAAATTAAACTTTAGAAAAAATATACTGAGATGCTATCTAATTGTGTGCCCAGTGGAGGTAATTATAGAATAACAATTGTTATTGTCATTAAATTTTATTTATGGCTATCAAATACTAATATTTATATTATTAACAAAAAAGGTATATTTTAAAGGAACCACATTCAAGAAAAGATGTGCAGTGATTCTAATGCTTTTACAAATGTTTATTTTTAAAGGACCATATTCAAGAAAAAGATAGTTATTCTAATGCTTTTACATCCATGATCTTCTATTAATATCCTACTCTACATTGTATATCATCTTTTTTAATGAAAACTGAATATATCTAATTGATAAGAAGAGAGTGAAAATAAGTGATTTCATGTGAAAAACAACTCTAATGAGATTTTAATAATTTCACTGTATTTTTTACTTTTGATAGTATTCAGTTTACCTCTTAGGTAGGAAAAACATGCTTAATGCTAAGCTGAATGGAGAACTCCAACCGCAAAAAACACATTCTATTATTTTTTAAAATCAAGCCCAGTAATCAATGATAAAGAGAATAATATTTCACTAAAATAATGAAATAAATATGAAATATTTTGCCAATGATTCATTCAACCCTGAAAAATATATTGACAATTCTAGAGGTAGTCACTGAATATCATAAATTTCAACTGAAAAAATTCATATAAATTTCAATTGATAAAATATTAATCTGTTTCACTAACACGCACACAAACACACCCACCTACATTTAGATATTTTTAACATTAGCAATCTAAAAGAAAAAATGACTAAAAAAAAAAACCTAGGATGTACTTCAACAAGCTGCAAAACATCTATACAATGGAATATTAAAGAATAAAAATAAATGCACTATCAAGCCCCAGATATGGAAAAACTTTAAAGGCATATTGCTAAATTAGTTAGTTTGAAAAAACTATATGCTCCATTATTCCAACTATACGACATTCTAGAAAAAGCAAAATGATAGACAATAAAAAATTAGTGGTTGTCAGGTTTGGAGGGGAGAGGGATGGATGAGTAAGTGGAGCAGGGGATTTTTAGGGCAGTGAAACGATTCTGTATGATACCGTAATGGTGAATAAAAAATATCAACTTATCAATTCATATAACTGTACAACATAATAAACACTAATGTAAATTACTTGCTTTAATAACGATATGCCAATATTCTTTATCTTCTAGTAGTTTAGTAGTTTTATGTTTTACATGTAGATCTGTGATCCATTTTCAGTTAAATGTCATGAAAAATATAAAGTTCTGTATTTAGATTCAATATTTTGTATGAAATTTTGCTAAAGAAATATGTTAATAATATGGGAAACTGTTGGGGGAAAGGAAATATACAGAAGCTCTCTCTACACCCTGCTTGATTTTTTGTAAATCTAAAGATGCTTTAAGACATCAAGTCTATCAATTAAAAAACAAGCTTTGATAACATTTGCTAACTTTTTGATGTAAATTTTAAAGACATCAAGAATTTGAAAAAAATGCGAATAATTATATCATAACATGGGATAGAGGATAAAGTGACATTGTTGACATTATCACATTGATTCAATGTTAACTAAAACGTTACTCTACATTTCTACATTTTTCTTAAAAGATTTTATTTATATATTTGACAGAGAGAAATACAGCGAAAGATTTTATTTATATATTTGACAGAGAGATATAGCGAAAGATTTTATTTATATATTTGACAGAGAGAGATATAGCGAGAGGGCACACAAGCAGGGGGCGTGGGAAAGGGAGAAGCAGGCTTCCCGCCCACCAGGGAGCCCTAGGCGGGGCTCAGTTGATCCCAGGATCCTGGGATCAATTAAGGCAGACACTTAACAACTGAGCCTCCCAGGCGCCCCTACATTTCTACATTTAAATCAAATATTACAACTTATAATGATTAAGTTTTCTGGGTTTGTCTGCTGGGTTTTTTTGTTTGTTTGTTTGTTTGTTTTTTGGTCACTTGGCTGATGATCCAGAAGATCAATATGCTAAATTTTAGTTTTTTTCTAAATTTAAGATAGTTGTAATGTACATATTCCAGACAGTTTAATATGCAAATAAATACTTTTAAATAAAAGACTACTTACCACTATATTTGATGACACGAATTGTTGAATCTCCTTCGCCAAATTTGGTGAGAGGAGTTAGTCGGACTTCATAAGCCTCTGGTTTAATTAGCTCAGTCAAGTTATATGTAATTAGTTCTCCTTTTTGAATATTTCCATTTATTTTAATCTCCTGCTCCCACCAACGCTGCTGTCCAGCCTGAAATCAAAAGAATTATGTAATAATATTCCCAGTATTTTCTTCAGAGATACTGTGTTCTAACAAAATGGGCAAAAAGCATTCTGAAATTTTATTAAATAAGAAAATACGTTATATGATTACATTTTATTAAAGTTCAAGTTTCTATAATAAGCAACAAATTCTGTAGATGTTTCCATGCAGATGTTTGCAGATAATTACCAAATTATCACAGAGTAGTTTGGCTGATTAAACAGGTTTAATATACCATTTTATTAAAAGTCAGAGGATAAAACAATAGTTTTGACTGCAGTCTCAATCCAGAGGTTTGAAGAGATATAAGTTTAACTACTTTTTTAATTCTTTTTTTAAGTTTTTATTTAAATTCCAGTTAACATAAAATGTAATATTAGTTTCAGGTGTACAATACAGTGATTCAGGGCTTCCATACATCACCTGGTGCTCATCATGACAAGTGCACTCCTTAATCCCCATCACCTATTCAACCCATCCTCCCACCCACCTCCCCCATGGTAACCATCAGTTTGTTCTCCATAGTTAAGAGTCTGTTTCCTGGTTTGCCTCTCTCTTTTTCCCCTTTGCTCATTTGTTTTGACTCTTAAATTCCACATATGAGTGAAATCATATGGTATTTGTCTTTCTCTGATTGACTTATTTCACTTAGCATAATGCTCTCTAGCTCCATCCATGTCATTGCAAATGGCAAGATTTCATTCTTTTTTATGGCTGAGTTAATATTTCACTGTATATATACCACATCTTCTTTATAGTCAACTGATCTTTGACAAATGAGCAAAGATAATACAGTGGAGCAAAAACAGTCTTTTCAGCAAACTGCAATGGAACACTGGGCATCCACATGCAAAATATTGAATCTAAATCCAAATTTTATACTTCTCATGACATTTAACTGGAAATGATCACAGACTGACATGTAAAACATAAAACTACAAAATTCCTAGAAGATAACATAGGAGAAAAACTAGATGACTGTGGGATTGGCAACAACTTTTTAGATACAATACCAAAAGTACAATCCATGAAAGAAATAGTTGATAAGCTGGACTTCTTTGAATTAAAAATTTCTACCCTACAAAAGATAGTATCAAGACAATTGAAAGAGAAGCACAGACTGGGAGAATATATTTGCAAAAGACACATCCAAAATACATAAAGATCTCTCAAAATTCAACAATAAGAAAACAAATATCCCAGTTAAAAAATGGACCATGGATCTTAACAGAAAAGATGCTCCACATTGTAAGTCATCATAGAAATACAAATTAAAACAATGAGATGCCACTGCATACCTATTAAAATAGTCAAAATCCAGAACACTGGCAACAACAAATGTTGATGGGGCTGTGGAGCAAAAGTAACTTTCATTCATTGATAATGGGAATGCAAAATGTTATAGTCAATTTGGAGGATAGTTTGGGTTTTGTTTTGTTTTTATTTACAAAACTAAACATACCTTTATCATATAACCAAGCAATTGTGTCCCTTAATATTACATAAGGGAGCTGAAAACTTATGTCTGCACAAAAATCTGCCCATGAATGGATGTCTATAGTAGCTTTATTCATAATGGGCAAAACCTGGAAGCTATCAAGCTGTCCTTTAGTAGATGAATAGACAAAAAAACAGTGCCACAACCAGACGATGGCCTATTACATGTGCCAAAAAGAAATGAGTTATTAAGACATGAAAAGACAGAGCAAACTTAAATGTGTATACTAAGTTAAAGAAACCAATCTGAAAAGGCTATCGAATGTATGATTCCAACTGCATGACATTCTGAAAAAGGTAAAACTATAGAGATAGTAAAAAGATCAGTGGTTGCCAGGAGTTGGGGGGAGGGAGGGATATATAAGCTGAACACAGAGAATTTTAGGGACAGTGAAACTACTCTGTATGATGATACCATGGTGGATACATGTAATTATAAACCCACAGAACATACAATACCAAGAATGAACGCTAACGTAAATTATGGACTTTGGCTGATAATAATGGATCAGTGTAGGTTCATCAATTGTAACAAATGTACCACTCTGTTGGGGGATGTTGTTACTGGTAGAGGCTATGTATGTGCTGGAGCAGGGGGTGTATGGGAAATCGTTGTACTTCTGCTCAATATTACTATAAGCCTACAAATACTCTAAAGGAATGAAGTTTTTAAATCTATTGTGCCACTTCATAATTTTCTTTGCATACATTTTCAGTTTTCTTTTATTCATATAAGTAGTGTAAGTATAGTTGCCTTATAATATTTTTATATCTGAAGTCTATAGTATCCTTGTTCTTGGCACTTTTCTCTATTTTATTTTGTTTATTTTTAAATGTGTGTTGATCATGTAACTAAAAATACTATTACTGGGGGTTCTTTGCTGCCTAGGACACAGTTAGAGATATACCTTTGTTTCTGACATCCTCCTAAGTGCATCAACAATACGGTTCACTTGTACTTTCGTTTTAAACCCTTTGGTGTCGGGTCGCCTGGGTGGCTCAGTCCTTAAGCGTCTGCCTTCGGCTCAGGTCATGATTCCAGGGTCCTGGGATCAAGCCCCGCATTGGGCTCCCTGCTCCGCGGGAAGCCTGCTCCTCCCTCTCCCACTCCCCCTGCTTGTGTTCCCTCTCTCGCTGTGTCTCTGTCAAATAAATAAATCTTTAAAAAAAAATAATAAAATAAAATGGAGATGATCCCTTGCTTTAGGCAGACCTTGGGTTTTGATTCCTGTTTGATCATTACTACCGAACTGTAAGACTCAAAGTTCAGGTTTGTCTGGGTTGGTGAGCAGCTGAAGGCAAAAGCAATTTGGGAGGGATATTCCAATTAAAATACTTTGTGTTTCCATTTTTCCTTACATTTTTACCTGGTGATAGATATACACATACATACTATATAATTAAATGTGCATATATATTTTTTCATATATTTACATATTTGCTTATTTTCTGAGGCTGAGTTAGTCTTAATTATATAGCCCAATCTGGTATATTTCTGGATATGTAAATCTCAAATACATGCAATTAACACAGGATAGAAAAATGACAAATAAAATTATGGAATAAAACAGAAAGCCCATGTCTATATTTGTGGGGTTGTTCACATAGAAGACAGAAAAGATTTATCATCCAACTGGTTATGTATATGGAAAAAAACATGAATTTGATGTCTAGCTCACATCTTATACAGAAAAAGTCTCAGGAAGGGGAGCTTGGGTGGCTCAGTTAGTTAAGCATCTGCCTTCAGCTCAGGTCATGATCCCAGGGTCCTGGGATCGAGCCCCACATCGGGCTCCCTACTCAACTGGGAGTCTGCTTCTCCCTCTCCCTCTGCCCCTTTGCCCCGCTTGTGTGCACACGCTCTCTCTCTCTCTCTCTCTCAAATGAATGAATAAAATCTTTAAAAAAAAAAAGAAAAAAGAGGAAAAGTCTCATGAAGGTCAAATGAGACTTAAATTTAAAAAGCAAAAGTTAAACTACTTAGAAAAAATACAGAAGAATGGCATCATGACTTCAAGTAAGATAGTGCTTTCTTAAACAGAATAGAAAAACACAATTAGTAAAGGAAAAGATTGATAAATTAGCCAATCTTAAATTTGAGATAAATATTAAATTTAAAATTTTGCTATAAAAAGTTCTCATCAGTGTTCCCCACTAAACAGCAAAAATAAAGGCAGATGTTTGAAGAAGATATTTAGAACATGTACAGCTAACTAGATTATATTAATACTCTTCTAACTCAGTAAGAAAAATAATTCAAGAGCAAAATCAGACTAATAGGAACAGGTATTTCATAGATGCAGAAACCCAAATAACTAATTAAAGTCTCAGCCTCACCATGTACCAAGAAAATGGAAATTAAAATCATAATACCATTTCCCATCATCAGATAAACAAAAACTTTTAAAATAACAATATTAAAGCTTGATGTAGATATAAAACAATGAGAATTTTTATACGTGTCAAGAATAGGGAGGGTGAGTGGGAGGATGGGTAAGGCTTGACTCCACTTAACAAGTAAGGAGTTAGCTTGCAACAGTGTTACAGATAACTGGCAGAAGACTAGAGACAACTAGGTCAAAGAAACCGACTCAGGACACAGCATACAGCAGAATCTTTACATTCACACTGGTTCCCCTTGTCTCCTAAGTCCCACAGGGGGGATGCACAGGTGCCCACATGGATTTTGCTCGTGCCTTGGGTTCGTATCACAGCTGGGGGATGCTGAGCTTAAAAAAGCTTAGTATCTCTTTCTCTTTTCCCCCTTTGCTCATTCATTTTGTTTCTTAAATTCTACCTATGAGAGATACGAGAAATATGGGGTATTTGTCTTTCTCTGACTGACTTATTTTGCTTAGCATAATACTCTCTAGCTTCAAACCAAGAAACAGACTCCTAATGCTAGAGAACAAACTGATGGTAACCAGAGGGGAGAAGAGTGGGGGGGGGGGCAGGTTAACAAGGTGATGGGGATTAAGGAGGCACTTGTTGTGATGAGCACTGGGGGTTGTATGGAAGTGTTGAATCACTGTATTGTACACCTGAAACTAATATGTCTGTAATGTTAACTAGAATTTAAATAAAAACTTTAAAAAAGAAACCTTAATATTTTATGACTGACAGTAACAAAACCTGCTCAAGCATTACTGAAGAGGGAAACGTTATATTTATTATACTGGACGTTAAACAGACTTTCCTCTGTTCTAAAGGGAGACAATATCTCTGTTGCTAAGCATGCTTGCTCTACAAAGGACCTTGAAAAGATAGGCTGGAATAAAAAGACAGTTAGTGCTTCTGCATACATGATATGCAAAAAAGCAAGACATCCGTGGGAAACTGTCTTCTAAAAATATAGCCTTGATGACAACGAAAACTGAAGAGCAATTTGGCAATAAAAACAATATTATAATGAGAACAGATAAACTCTTGCATTTGTACACATGCAAACAGAAATAGTCATGGCATAGAAAACACAGAAAATGATCTAAACC